AATGCCGAGATAACATACCGAGTAACCCAGTGTAGTACGACAATGGAACATCGGTATGGTGGATCTTGAAGTGAAGGTTCGGAGTTGGGGTGATAACACTGTATTCCTCCCATCCAACTATCCCCCAGAGCAAATCGCCCTTTTGGAAATCGGGATGCCCTGAGTCTATCACCTTGGAAACTCCAAACCCAAAGACAGGCTGCACAAAACAGAATCAACGTTTCATACAGTAGAAAGAGACAAGCCCAGACAGTCATGTAATGTAGAATTTATCTTCAAGGGGCCCTCAAGAACGCTTGACTATATTGGATGAGTCAAAACATGAAAATCTATACAACTTTTGACCCAATACCGAATCTAGCAGTTTCCAATCAGCAGAATTTCCTTTTGGATTATTAAAAAACTATTAACCACGAGGAGACTAGGGCAACGTGAGAACCCTGAGTATATTATATTCATAGCTATAAGAAACATCATCCTGGTCAAAGAATATAAAATGATTTCTTGATTCCGGGCGACAAAATCGACCTTTTAAGGTTTGAAAACCAACAGTGATGAAACGCTAACCATCATCGGGAAGAAGGACCAGACGACAACAATTTCCGATCCGATTCGAATTTCACCGTAAAATTGCACAATCAGAGGACAATCTACGAATGGGTACCTTGCCGGGATTGTAGGCTTGAGCAAGCGCAGCAGTAGCGGGGTTGGGCTTTCCCATGCGCATGCGCATGTAGGGATCGCAAGACAAGTAGAGATTCTTCACTAGCACCGACGAGGAATTCGCCGGGACCTTGAGTTCAACGGCGGTGGCCGTGATCTCGAGATCGGATTCCTTGGGGAAACCACTCACGTAGTCTCGAAGAATGACCTGCTTGCTCGTCGCCGTCGCCATTTTCGATTTACTGTGTGGATTCTAACGGCGAGATATGTCTGGTTTTATATAGGCTTCACAGGAGGTGTGATCGCAACCACAAATATAGAAAACTAGAAGAAATTCGCTTCTTTAAAAAAAAAAATCTCATTTTTACATATCGGCGGTTGCTTAATGACGTCACTAATTGCGTCTGGTCACATAATGTGCTCACGTGGCGACACTCTAATCCCGATAATGCTCTCTAATGATCTCTTGATGACGTCATAAATAGGTTTGAATCGATCATAACAAGGTCAAGTTTTCCATGAGAGAGAGAAGCGTTCACACTACCTTTTCAAACGTTGTCGGCGACAAGAATCTTTGCCTTTGACTTTTTTATTGGTAATAGTTATTGTGTACATACACCCCATTTTGAAGGATACAAATTACTATGGTCGATTATCACCTCATACAAAAATTACATAAAAGAGAAAACCATTCATGCACCCCAAATATTGGTGTTGATTAGTAGAGCATTAATTTGTTAAGTACAGAGGAAAAGTTCAAATCCAATGTACTCGTGTGATTAGCAAAAAAAAAAAAAAAATTGCCAAGGATGGAAGGAAGATACCAAATTCAATGTACTCGTATATTGTGATGATAGTAAAACATGCAACAAATATTTAATATATATTGACGTTGGTTAAGGAAAGCGTTAATTGTCAAAATCCAATGTTCTGGCTACAGTGACGTATGTGCTGACGCGAGAAGGTCATGCAAAATTTCATAAAAGGAATATTACATAAAGTGTAACGTAGTCCATTCACTACAAAAAAACAACAGTTATATAGCGAGTTATATAGCGACGGAAAAATCCGTCGCAATTAAGAATTTACGACGGAATGCGACGGACTTATTTCCGTCGGTATAACGCTGTCGCAAACGTATAACGGTCGTTAATCCGTCGCAAAGGTGCGACGGAAAAAAGTCTGCGTTTTGCGACGGAAAGTGACGGATAATTCCGTCGCATTCCGTCGAAAATGTTTTAAAAATTTTTTAAAAAAATATAACAAAATTATATACTATATATACACATACATATATATATATATATTCACATATACATACATTCATACACATACATTACACACATACAAATATACATACACATACATACATATATATATACACATATTTTCATATACACAAACACACATACACATTCACACATATACACATATACACATATATACACATACATAAATACTCATATACATATACATTTCTCAAACACATACACATATACATTTCACAAACACACACACATACATATAAACACACACATATACACATATTCATATACACATACAATCACATATACATACACATACATATTCACATTCACATATATATACACATACACATACATAAACACACACACATACACATTCACACATACATACACATTCACTTACACACATATATAAACACACACACATACACATTCACACATACATACACATTCACTTACACACATATATAAACACACACATACACATTCACACATATATATACACATTCACTTACACACACATGCACATACATAAACACACACAAATACATCAAACACACACATATATATACATAAATACATATATATTACCTTATGGGAGAAATTTGGCGATTTTTGGAGGATTTAGAAAAAAAAAAATTCGATTTTTTTTTTCCGAAAATTTTTGAAGTCTGATGAAGAAGACGACTCGTGGTTTTATATTGTGTTTTGCGACGGAATTTTCCGTCGCAATCCGTCACAAAATGAAATTAATTTACGCGCCCAAAATTCAAAAACTTTTTGTCGAAAAACGAAACCAAATACATTGCGACGGAATATTCCGTCGCAATCCGTCGCAATTTTTATTTTCCGTCGCAAATCATCTATTTCTTTGTTGTGACAGAATTATCCGTCGCAAACCGTAGCAAATTGCGACGGATTTTGCGACTGTTTGCGACGGATAATTTTTTTCCACATTCTGTCGTAAAATCTCACATTCCGTCGCAATTTTCTGTGCGACGGAAATTTCCGTCGCAAATTCCGTCGCTATATGCAGGTTTTTTTGTAGTGATTTTCTCAACCGTTTCACATTGGCGAGGGAATCATCATGAGATCCCCCCACTGCTAGCACATATGTATTTACAATATTGAAATGAAGTCGGCTATTTAAAATCAGGAAAAAGATGTTAATGATGACGACGACAAAAACAGTATTAATCAAAACATGGTGAAGGCATGTTTATGGATTCAGAGCATCAGTTGGGTCAGACATGGTGGGAGAAGCAAGACTGGTCTTGTTATGATCTGCAAGGGAGAAAAAGAACAGCAAACCATTTCAAATTCTATATAGACACCTACAAACCTGATAACAATTGCAAAAGATTACTAAACCATAAAACCTAAACCCATGAAATATCACTACAAACTTAATAATATATATATTATTAAATATAATTATTAATTGAGAAGTAACAACTTTTTACCGTTAACTATTTTTAATTAAATAGATTATCAACAATTATGAAATATCACTTCAAAAAAACATTTATTAAAGTTAATCATTGCAAATTTTAAAATAAAAATATTAAATAATCATTGCAAATTGCTATATAAAAATAGAAGACTAGAATCATTTATGATCACATTTTGAAATACTCATTTACGCTCTCAATTACTCTTCTTTATTTTGTTCTTAAAATCTCAAAGACTATTTTTCATTTGTTATCAAGAGAATAGCATGTAATATGGTACTTTTTAATTTTCTATTTTTTATTTCAATTGTTATTTATGTGATGATTTTATTTATATTATTAAATACTAATAATATTGTTATTTATTTTATAGTGGGAACAAAAAACGGGACATCAAACTGAATTTATAATTTTCAGGTTTTTTTCTTAAATTTTTCTTATTTATTTTATTAAGTATTTAAATTTAAATATGTCTTCTGGAATTAGAAAATATGATTCTAGATTTGAAAAACGTAAAAAAAAATTGAAGAATTAATTCAATCTCAAAAAAAGAGTTTTAGATAAAATGAAAATGAAAATGAGTTTGTTATAAAAGAGCCACAAACTCCTAGTCAAAATGAAAATGAGATTATTAACAGTGATAGTTTACAAAATGAAAACAAATCCTTATGAAACTAATATACTTGATATTTTTTATCCAAAAAATTGAGATAATATTGATTCTAAAATGATTGATATTTTAGTAACCAAATGGTACTAAATGAGACATGAATATTGAAAAAGGTAAAAAAAGATAAATTTTCTATACGATTTTCATCAATATATTATACTATACTTTTATCAAATGGTGAAAAATGTGATAGAGATTGACTTGTTTATTCGAAAGAACTAGATAAATTATTTTATTTTTGTTGTAAAATATTTTAAAAAAATATTGGAAAGGACCAATTAACAAATGAGTGTTTTGGAGATTGGATACATCTTAGTATTAGACTTAAAGAACATGAAATGAGTACGAAATATATAAAAAAATATGGTCACTTGGTATGATTTGCATTTAAGAATTTAAAAAATCAAACTATTGATAGAACAACTTGTACACAACTTGTGAAAGAAAAAGAACATTGGAAAAATATTATGTTTAGAATTATTTTAATTGTAAAATTTCTTTCAAAACATAATTTAGCGTTTCGTGGAACAAATGAAAGATTATTTGAAAATAATAATGGAAATTTTTTGGGTTTGATTGAAATATTGTCATATTTTGATCCTATTGTTCAATAACATTTGAGATTTATTACAAATAATGAAATTCATCATCATTATCTTGGTCATAATATTCAAAACGAACTAATTCTTTTACTTACTTATACAATAAAAAATGAGATCATTAGAAATGTAAAGCAAACAAAATATTTTTCTATTATACTTGATTGTACTCTAAATAGTAGTCACCAAGAACAAATGTATTTGATTATCAACTATGTGAATATCTCTTCTAATCCTGTTAAGATTGAAAAATCGTTTTTAGGGTTTTTAAATATGAATGATACAATTGGACAAAAGATTTTTGATGTGTTACAAAATAAACTAAAATCACTTGATCTTGGTATAGATGATATAAGAGGATAAGTTTATGACAACGGATCAAATATGAAATAAAAAATTAAATCAAGGTGTACAAAAAAAACTTTTAGATGTTAATCCTAAGACTTTTTATACTCTTTGTGGTTCTCATAGTCTAAATTTAATATTATGTGATATGGCTAACACACGGTAAATCTAAAGATTTTTTTGGAATTACACAAAGGATATATATAATTTTTCTAATTATACTAAAAGGTTCAACAAACTAGCACTACTCGCAATAGGGAACGATTTTTTGGAAAAAATTGATTATGAAAATTTAGTTGATAAATTTACTACAAATAAAGTTAGAAGAAATATCTTGTTTAAATGAATGTTTAATATTTTATTTAACTTAGTTCATTTGTATATTTTGGTATTTTAAATATGTTTGTATAATTTTTAAATATTTCTGGAAATAATGTAATATTTGATTTTTTAATTATATTGTTAATATTATTATTTTTTATTATATTAATTAATAATTTATTATTAATCTAAAATTTGTAATATATATATATATAGAACCTCAAATTTTGAGAGACGACCACTTACATACCTGATAACAATTTGCAAAGATTACTAAACCGTACATAAACTATAGGATTAAACCCCGAACCAACCCCTAAATCCTAAATATAAATCGTAACAGGACATCCACGTGACATATAACATGACACATAATCAGCCAAAAATATTCACAATTCTTAACATAAAACATGTAGCAAAAATCGTAACAAATTTTAAGGCTAATATTGACATCAAATGAAAATGAAGGAAGATCCGAAAACACCAATAAATCTGACATTTCCTAGGGTTTCCCAAAGCCAAACCCATCAAATCCCAGACAAATCCTAAAGGAAAATCAAACGAGGAACGGGATGAGAGAAGAAAAAGAGAAACTGACGTTCTCGTAGCAACCGGATGAAACAGCCAAGACCTCATTCTCTGATCGCCTGCAACGCACTCCTCATCCCCGTCGAGGCCAATGTCTGTAAGCTCTTAGGCTTTTTCTTTATACTTTATAAATATATATGAACAAGAAGAGAGGAGGAGAAATCCTCAAAATACTCCTTTATTTTCTTGTGTTTTTGTTGTTGTTCTACAAACTCCAAAACTCCACCTATATATATAGTAATCCTAAGAACATTCTAGTAAAACACCATAATGATACATGATTAATTTTGGTCTAACTTAGCATAATTATTTTCTTGAAAACTAGGAGTATTTTGAACACCCAAAACTAGAACACAAAATACTAGGGCAAGTTTAATTTCCAACATTAGCCTCCCTTAAACTTGTTCCTCCTTGAACTTGGACTCCGAGCTGCTTTCGAAAGTGTTGAAATGCATCCGTCTTCAAAGCCTTCGTAAAAATATCTGCAACTTGATCACCTGAACTCACATGCAACAAATCAACATCTTTAGCCTTGACATGCTCCCGAATGAAATGAAACCGTGTGTCGATATGTTTCGAACGCTCATGATGAACAGGGTTCTTCGCCAGAGCAATAGCTGACTTGTTATCCACATAAATCTTTGTTGTATTTTCTTGCTTCAACATCAACTCTCCAAGGAGTCTCCTCAACCATATAGCATGACAAACACATGAAGATGCCGCTATATATTCCGCTTCACATGTTGACAGAGCAACAATCGATTGCTTCTTTGAAGACCAAGTAAATGCTGCATCACCAAAATAGAACACAAACCCGGTAGTGCTCTTGCGATCATCATAACTTCCAGCCCAATCACTGTCACTATAACCAATGAGTTCCGCTTCTCCTTTAGATGAATATAATAACCCGTAACCAACTGTCCCTTTGATGTATCTGAGAATCCGCTTAGCAGCTTCAAGATGGGAAGACTTTGGGTTCTCCATGTACCGACTAACCAATCCTACTCCATATAAAATATCAGGTCGAGTACAAGTCAGATACCTTAGACAACCCACAAGACTCTTGTAATATGTCGGGTTTATGGGCTTTCCTTCTCCTTCCTTCGTCAATCTCGTACCACACTCCACCGGTGTGTCTATGGACAAAGAATCTGTAACGACCCGAGGCCGCTACGGAATGATAGAACTGTCCCCACACACCAACACGGGACCTTTTAGCGTGTTTTGTCCTCACTCGCACACATCCCGGAAAGTACTTCCCAGGAGGTCACCCATCCTAAGACTACTCCAAAGCCAGCACGCTTAACTTTGGAGTTCTCTCGAGATGGCTAACCGAAAAGGTAGATGCATCTTGTTGCTATGAGTAGCTCAATTAATTCCTTTAAGTTATCTTAGACTGTGTAGTCCCATACCTACACAGCCCTCGGATCTCTCTCATTCCGGTGCGTCCGCTTCATCCCTGTACCCCCTACCGAGAAGCTCGTCAGGAGCCGCCCCTTGTCCATGCCTCTCGCACCGGCGATCACTCCCCGCCCTCCTGCGGTACCCTGGGCTGTCACAGAATCATCCATCGAAAACTTTTGCAAAATGTCAGTCGCATATTTCTCTTGGGAGATAAAAATGTTACCTTCACCTTGATGTACTTCGATGCCCAAAAAATATTTCATCATGCCCAAATCCGTCATCTCAAATTCTTTCTCCATCGATTGCTTGAATTCTTGAATCATGGTATTGTTATTGCCTGTGAATACCAGATCATCCACATATAGACATATGAATAACACATTAGTACCTTTGACCTTCACGTATAAGGAGTGTTCATATGGACACTTCATGAATCCTTCTCGAACAAAGTAAGCATCGATTCTGGTATTCCAAGCTCTCGGTGCTTGCTTGAGCCCATAAAGAGCTCTTTTCAGCCTGTACACCTTTTTCTCATGTCCCGCAATAACAAATCCCGGCGGTTGTTCAACATACACTTCTTCTTCGAGATTTCCATTTAAGAACGCTGATTTTACGTCCATCTGATACATCTTCCATCTCTTCTGAGCTGCGAGTGAGATCAATAATCTCACTGTTTCCAACCGAGCTACAGGAGCAAAGACTTCTTCATAGTCAACTCCATGCTTTTGTTTGTATCCTTTCACTACCAACCTTGCCTTGTGCCTTTCCACTTCTCCTTTGGCATTCCTCTTTGTTTTGAACACCCATTTAACTCCAATGGCTTCGTGTCCTTGAGGCAATGAAGTGAGCTCCCATGTGTTATTTTTTCGTATGGCCTGAATCTCTTCTTCCATGGCCTTCATCCACTTCTTCTCCCTAGAAGCTTCTTCATATGTCACTGGATCAAATCCAGCAAAAAGACAAAAATTAGTGAACTCTTCATCAAACCCGGGTTCTATCGGTTGAGTTGAATAAACCTCCCGAATGCTCCTCGTCTTTCTCAGCCTCAACGGAAACATCCTGTTCTTCGTCATCTCCACAGTTGTGATCAATTTGTCATTTTTGTCTCGGATGGTAAGGGATGTATTCTTCAACCTTACATCAAAACCTTTCTCCAACAATTGTCCCACACTCAACAAATTACTTTTTATATCAGGAACATAGTAGACGTTGGAAATGCAAACCTGTCTCTTGTTTTGGAAGGTCAGTGTGATATCACCTTTTCCTTCTATCGGTCTTTTTGAACGATCACCAAACGTGATATTACCAAAATTTCGCTCGGTAAGCTTTGTGAATAGCTCCTTTCTGCCGCACATATGATTGGATGCTCCCGTGTCAAGATACCATGTAACAAATGGTTCGGACTCAATGCTTGGTCCGACTTCATTCTGGGATAGCATCAATACTTCTTCTGCATCATCACCTTCTTTTTCCACCATATTAACTTTCTTTCTACCATTGTTATCGGGATTATGCCAACAATCATACGAGTAATGACCGAACTTCTTACAAATATGACATTGAGTTCCGGATTTGTCATACCTTCCTTCATTGTTTCTCGGATTGTGCCAACAATCATTAGAGTGATGGCCATATTTCTGACAAATGTCACACTGTATTATGGACTTATCGTATCTCCCTTCATTGCTTCTTTCAAATCCACGACCACGACCTCGGTTCCAGCTTTGACCTTGGCCACCACGACCATACTCAGCTTGATTTTCTCCATAATCGTTATGGTTGTTGGTTGGCACCCGATAATTTGATCTAGGACCTCCTCGTCCGTAATTTCCACCTCTTCCTCGTCGTTGTTGATAACCTCCTCTTGATTTTTCGGTCTTCAGAGAGAGCTTTGCTTCGAGCGCATGCTCAACGGATTTTTCTTCTCCTTTTCTCCGATTCAGTCTATCTTCAAACGCTTTCAAAGAACCAAGAAGTTCTTCCACAGTCATTGAATCTAAGTCTTTAGATTCTTCGATCACAACGGCCACAGAATCAAACTTTGAGTCAAGGGACCTCAAAATTTTCTCCACGACCCGAACGTCCTTCAACGTCTCGCCATTTGTCGCCATTTGATGAACAATGGTGATTACCCGTGAAATGTAATCCGAGATCGACTCGGAACTCCCTTGTTGTAGACTTTCGAATTGCGATCGTAAAGATTGCAATCGAATCTTCTTCACCTTATCGACTCCTTCATAAGATTTCTTTAAAATTTCCCACGCCTCTTTGGACGTCGTCGCCGAGGCAATAAGCTCGAACGTTACTTCATCGACTCCTTGATATATTGTGAACAATGCCTTCTTCTCTCTCTTTCGTAGATCTTTGTGTTTCTCCTCTTCATTCTCCGGTACTGTCTCCGATTCGACATAACCGTTCGCCACCATGTCCCATACATCATGGGATCCGAGAAGAGCCTCCATTTGGATACTCCACCTACGATAGTTGTCTTTCGTAAGTTGCGGAATTTGCGATTGGATCGAACTCGTCGACGCCATGATATCCCGGCTCTGATACCACTTGTAAGCTCTTAGGCTTTTTCTTTATACTTTATAAATATATATGAACAAGAAGAGAGGAGGAGAAATCCTCAAAATACTCCTTTATTTTCTTGTGTTTTTGTTGTTGTTCTACAAACTCCAAAACTCCACCTATATATATAGTAATCCTAAGAACATTCTAGTAAAACACCATAATGATACATGATTAATTTTGGTCTAACTTAGCATAATTATTTTCTTGAAAACTAGGAGTATTTTGAACACCCAAAACTAGAACACAAAATACTAGGGCAAGTTTAATTTCCAACAATGTCCTCCTCGGCTGCCTCGGAGTTCTTCACCGTTGAAATCGTACACCCTGATGCATTGGATTCTTCCTCCGGCCCAAACTCTTTTTCTCCTTTAATTTTTAACCGGTTTAGCATCCCAAAGGCCCAACCGGGTTACCGATAATTATGTGGTTGGGCTTTCAAAATTTTCAGATGGCGGGCCCAGTTTGATAAATTAAATAATAAAATAAGCTTTTTTTTAAAAAAATTTGAAAATAAATGTAACACGGCAAAATTATGGAGAACTAAGTTATTCCAACGGTCGATGCTTTTTTATTGAACTTTATTCAAATAGATCAAAAGTTAATGGCTCATTCATATGATTCAAATAATTACATTACAAATTTAAAAGTAGGAATATACTCTATGATGGTCTTAAACTTACATCATGAAATTTCCCAATATATCATTTTCATTTTGGTCTGACGTGTCACATAACATTCTCTGGGTTTCTAAAGCCCTGTCGACGTGACTTGTCCTCGGGTCTTCTTAAAAGCAAAAAGCTTCAAAAGAAAAAAAAAAAGGAATATGTGTAAATAATTAAATAAATTAAAACGAGGAAAATAACAAGGAAATAATTTTCAAAGTCCGCCTTTGTTTTTCTCTTCCCTGCGTCAATTTTAAGCTGTCCTTCGGGAACTCTCTCTCTATATTTATACGACGTTCCTTTGCTATCTGAAACCTCTCTCTAGAATTTTTTTCTTCTTCCGCCTTTTTTGTTCTCTCTCCTAGGGTTTTCGTCCACTGCTAACAGTCTCCTGAGGCTTTTTCCAACGAAGATTCTACTCGAGCTTCGCATCTCAGCCATGGCGGCCGAGAAGTTAAGGGACTTGAGCCAACCGATTGACGTCGCTCTCCTCGATGCCACCGTCGCTGCATTCTATGGCACCGGATCTAAGGAAGAGGTGGGTCGATTTTTCTGGTCTCCGGCTCAGTTTCCCGTTTTGTCGGAATTTTTACGGGAGCGATGATTGCCGTAATTACGGGGTTTTGGTGTTTTGTCTGTGGCTTTTCCGTATTGCGCGTTGAAGTTTTCGAGAAGAGTGTTTAGGGTTTAACATTCTGATACCTGTTTGTATTCAATTATGTTTTCTGTAATCGCGGAAGTTTTGGATGAGGTTTGGGTTGATTTTCTAGGTTTTGGGTTTGGACTCCTCGGTGTTTACTTTCGGACTATGTTATGTACTGTTTTTCTGGGATGGAAGCAACCTGCGACCTTTGTTTGCCCTTGTAAGCTCAAAGTAAAATGGAAGGAGAGAGTGGCATTGGATAGTAGCTCTAAATGTTATTTCCCCCATCATGTGTGACATTTTATAGCTGCATTCACACTCTTAGTAATTGTGAAATATGGTGATATATACATGTCTTTAGAAGTGCAATCTTGTTTTGTGTGCCTTTGCGTTTTTCTCTATGAATTAATTTCATTTTACTCACAAAATATGTTACTCAGAGAGCTGCTGCTGACCACATTTTGCGGGATTTGCAAGCCAATCCAGATATGTGGCTTCAAGTGGTTCACATTCTACAAAACACAAAAAATATGAATACCAAGTTCTTTGCCCTTCAGGTAATTTTCAGGCTTCCTTATCTTGTTGGTATTCCCTGTTGCAAATTGCAATGCTAGCTGCCCTGCCGAGGATTGTTAGTGTTCTATTGTTCTGTTATTCTTCTGCTTTATCATTCTTGGCATAGTTCCATAGGATGTACATTCTAAATCCAATCGTAAAAAGAGTTCTGAGGGCAGGATCCATTGTTTCATACATTTTATATGCTGAACAAGGGAACAATAAGTTTGTGAAAGAGTCGAGCAGGTAGGTTCTGTTATCTATTGATACGTTTATGCGGATAGGATTTGACCTTGGCATTGGGCAGACATTAAGCTAGAACTATTGTTTTTGCTGTTGTTGAAAAGCTATTGGTGGTATGAACTTGCTGTTACTGTGTTTCTTTTGAATCAGTTTTAGTTTTGTTGTTGCATTGGGAAATTTTGTCTTACTGAATATGAAATCGGTTGCTCGTTGGTACATTTTATTTCTTCACTTCCTAACTCAAGACTTACATAGAGCCTCTGGGGCTCAGCCTCAGGTATTGTTTTGATGCTCTTCAGAATTAGGTCGATTGAGCTATTCTGATTGCATTTGGAGAAAATATAGCAATATTTTATTTTATCAGTATGGCATGCTTATGAAGAATGGTTATTACTAGTGAAATCCTTTGAATATATATCTTATATCTTATATTGGTGTCATCTCTGTCATATACGTCTGGCACTTTTGCCACTTGATATATGGAAGTTTCCGTGGCTTCTGCTTTCAGGTCCTAGAAGGTGTAATAAAGTATAGATGGAATGCTCTGCCTGTTGAGCAACGAGATGGAATGAAAAATTACATCTCCGAAGTCATTGTACAGGTATGCATTCTGTAGGCATATAATTGCTTCTTGGAAAGAAGCTTGGTTAATAATCGTTTTGTCTTTGGATTTATCTGCAGCTTTCCAGTAATGATGCGTCTTTCAGATCGGAAAGGCTTTATGTCAACAAACTAAATATCATTTTGGTTCAGGTAACCATGAAATCCTTTTAGTAGTGGATGCATCGACTTAGTTGCATTAAGTCTATCATGCATGCACAATCTTTGTAGGATTTGCTACATGGTGAATTCTGTCTTGTCTGTCATTTCTTTTTCATTCTTATTTATTAGCTGTGATCATTAGAGATGGATTGTTTATCTAGAATCTAATTTGATTGTGGTGATACTCGCAGATTGTAAAGCATGAGTGGCCAGCTAGGTGGAGAAGTTTCATCCCTGATCTTGTTGCAGCTGCTAAAACCAGTGAAACCATCTGCGAGAATTGCATGGCTATTTTAAAAGTAAGTATTTTTCCGTGCTTTTGCTTTCATTTTTTACTGTTAACAGATAATATATCTTTTTCTCTCTTTCTCGTTAAGCTTCTAAGCGAGGAGGTTTTCGATTTTTCGAGAGGAGAGATGACTCAGCAAAAGATTAAAGAGCTGAAACAATCTCTGAATAGGTAAGTCTATTGGCTTTCCAGTGGCAGTATTTTAATATTTTATAAGTTATTTGCTCTATCTGTCCTTTATATTTCTTCTGCCTTATAATTGGATATATGCTTTTTTGTTCACTTTGTTCTGCTCTCGTATGTGCAGCGAGTTTCAACTCATTCATGAGTTATGCCTGTATGTTCTCTCAGTTTCCCAAAGGCCAGAGCTTATACGTGCTACTCTGTCTTCTCTGCATGCTTATCTTTCTTGGATTCCCTTGGGCTATATCTTTGAGTCTCCTCTGGTAACATACTTGGTTTGAGATAGATGTTAATGGGCATCACAATTCTGTTATTCTCACTTTTATTCTTGTAATTTGCAGCTGGAGACCCTCCTTAAATTCTTTCCTCTTCCAGCATATAGGAATCTCACTCTTCAATGTTTGACGGAGGTACTTTGATTTGTGATCTCAGATTTTTTGTTATCAATTCATTGCTTTTTTATTGTGATTTTGCATTTACTGAAGATTGGGTTCTTTCTTGCAGGTTGCAGCTCTTAATTTTGGGGACTTCTACAACGTTCAATATGTCAAGATGTACAACGTATTCATGTCACAGTTGCAGGTGAAATCGGTTGTTTCATTCGTCTTGCTTCAATTTGTTTTCTCAGGTTTTTTATGTAACGTTTCTATCCTTGTTAGTTTGGTGTCTAGTAAATTTATGGGCTTATCTTGTTTACACTTGTTTTTTTATATCTGTAGGCAATTCTCCCACTAACCACAAATATCCCTGACGCATATGCAAATGGAAGTAGTGAAGAACAGGTAATTATTTTCTGGGCACTGCCATTAACTTTCAGCTGGGCCCATTGTTTTCTTTAACTTATATTGGTTGTGACTAATCTATCTTCTATTTTTTCTAGGCATTTATCCAGAATTTGGCACTGTTCTTCACTTCATTTTTCAAGGTAAATCTGGGCCTTGATGAGTGAACTTCATTGGTTCTTTTAGTCTTTTTTTTTGTCATATATGACTTATCTTGAAGTATGGTATAGTGATAGTGACAATGTGGTCTCTAATTCCCTGTTTGCAGTTCCATATACGAGTCTTAGAATCTGCACCCGAAAATGTTTCCGCATTACTCGCGGGTCTGGAATATCTTATCAATGTATCGTATGTTGAAGACACTGAAGTGTTCAAGGTTTGAAATTTACTATTTGTAATATTTTTATGTTGATGCATTTGATGGTTTCGTTTTGTTTCTATGTTGGCAGGATGGAATCTCATTCTTTGGAAATTGACAGCTTTTGCTTGTTTGTGGTTAAACAGGTTTGTTTGGACTATTGGAACTCGTTGGTTTTGGAGTTGTTTGATGCGCACCATAATGCTGACAATCCAGCTGTAACTGCAAGCCTGATGGGATTGCAGGTATGATGGGTTCCTTAACTAATATGATTTTGTTTTCCTCTTTTTTCGAAAGGTTGAGACTAGAATTGCATATTTTGTTTGCTGAGGCAAGGGAAGTCTCGGAATATATGTTTCAAGAAGTTGGTTTCCCTGCTTACAAGATACATTAAAGTGCCCCATTAGTTAGGGTTATGGGGATATGAAATCTGTTTTCCTCTTTGTATATTTGCAGATGCCTTTCCTTCCTAATATGGCTGATGGCCTTGGCTGTCAAGTCATGCAGCGGAGGCAACTTTATGCAGGCTCGATGTCAAAGTTGAGAGGGCTCATGATTAGTCGTATGGCTAAGCCTGAAGAAGTGCTTATTGTTGAAGATGAAAATGGGAACATTGTCCGTGAAACTATGAAGGACAATGATGTTCTTGTCCAGTATAAGGTACCGATCTAGGTTTGACGTTTATTTAGGCCATTTCTAGTTGTAGAAAAGAATGTGATTCTTTGGAATTATGTAATCGGGGCATAATCGTATTGTACTCAAATCCTTCATTTTTATTTCTCTGCGAGTCTTTTTCGTGGTTCCAATTTCTTATTATAATGTTGCAGATCATGCGGGAGACACTAATCTATCTGTCACACCTTGACCATGATGATACTGAAAAACAGGTAGTTATTATACGAGGGAGAGTTTATTTGTATGTTTCTTATCACATACATGCTGATGGTTTATGTAAAAGTAAAGCTAACTGTGAATAAAATATTGATGAGTTATGACCAAATATGGTGTTCATGAAGTGTGTCTTATGGAGACATTTTACTAGAGTTTAAATGCGAAAATGTATTAGATATGAAACCACTTAATTCACCTGTTTATAAGGTTTAATGTCCATGTTTGTCTGACCCTTTATATTGAATTCTTCTTTTGATTGTTCCTGAAAAGATGTTGAGGAAGCTAAGCAAACAATTAAGCGGGGAGGAATGGACATGGAACAATCTGAACACGTTGTGCTGGGCTATTGGATCTATTTCTGGCTCCATGGCTGAAGAACAGGTACCATTTGTATCTTCTATCTTCAATGCAATGTAGCTGAGATTTTTGTTTATATAATATTGACTTCTCCAGTATGTATCTTTATTCTTATGTGTTTTACCTTTTCGATATATCAGATACCCTTAATTTCCTGCTGTAAGAATTGGCAGTATTGAAGGCTTGGAGCTTAACGTTATTAGCTTTCTATTCATCAACCTCCCATAAATTATACTTGTTTACTGCCTGACCAGTTGTTCCTGTGTGCTGGGCGCAGAATGCTTGCAGACAAATTATGTCTAGTACTGATCTCTTTGAATTCCATGTTTTGTTTTTCTCAGGAAAACAGATTTTTGGTGATGGTTATCCGCGATTTGTTGAATTTATGTGAAATCACCAAGGGTAAAGACAATAAAGCTGTTATTGCCAGCAATATAATGTAAGTTCGCTTCTTCCTCAGGAATGCTAATCTTGGATTTATATGCGGGTTATAGTTGAATTATGTCTGGATTTGCGTCATTTACTGTGTCTTTTGGGAACCTGCATCAGTTTTATGCATACATTGTCAGAGGATATTTGAGACTTGGTGCTTGGGAGAAATTGACTGTTTGTTTTAAAATGTTTCCCTTTGTTCCAGGTATGTTGTTGGACAGTATCCAAGATTTTTAAGGGCCCACTGGAAGTTTCTGAAGACAGTTGTGAATAAGTTGTTTGAATTCATGCATGAGACACATCCAGGTGTTCAGGTAGTGTTTCACTTGCGATCTTTGTGTTTAATAATTGATTGTTCAGTGCAGTCTACGGTGTTGTAAAGGGCATTCCTTTGCAATGTGAATACGTACACCTTAATTCCTGAAGTAAGGACAGGAAAAAATGTGACTGATTAACAATTCCAGGATGCATTTTGGATTAACTTTGATTAGTTGGATAGGTAGATGGGTGATATCTAACCACTTTATCATATGTTATTTGCAGCATTCTTTTCTTAACCTTTCAATTAAACATGCTCACTATGCTATAATTTCCTTTCAGGATATGGCCTGCGATACATTCTTGAAAATTGTTCAGAAGTGCAAGCGCAAGTTCGTTATTGTGCAGGTATGCATTTCTGTTAAATACACCTTTTAAATTCTTACATTATCCTTTAAAACGAGATCTTAATTTAAGCATCCTGTACTTTCAGGTCGGAGAAAGTGAACCATTCGTGTCTGAACTTCTATCAGGTCTTGCAACAACTGTTGCTGATCTTGAGCCTCATCAGATTCACACCTTTTATGAAGCTGTAAGTTTTTCCAGACATCCTTAGTGTGGATATACAAAGCTGTTTCTTATTGTAATTTCACTCTCTTCAGGTTGGTCAAATGATCCAAGCGGAATCAGATCCTCAAAAGAGGGATGAATACCTCCAAAGGTTGATGGCTCTTCC